CCGGTCTACCCTGTAGCCTTGTGCTCGAGCACTGAGGCCCTATTAAGGGCTGGACAAAGTACAACAAAATCCTAATCTGTTTCCGATGGGTACATGCCACCTTTGTAATGAATTTAAGATAAAGAATAAATGTGGGACGATGAAATGGAAGCATGTGACAACAAAAAATTGGTATTGCAGTATTTAGGGAACAGCTCTTGAAAGCAGCTTGGGAATATTACCAAAATTGGTTTGCGGGCCAACCCTGATGTCAGCAAATTAGGTTTTTGGTTCCCATTGCCTTCAATACAAATGGCATAGACAAGATGTCTCAAGTAAGGTGCAAAATTTTGATAGCATTTAAATTTTGTTGTACATACACAGCAGACATACCAACAATTTGCTTAACCATTATTCCTGTTTCAGTGTCCTTCTTAACCAAACATCATCTTATTTTAATGTCATAATATGATGTGGCAATATACAGTCACATGCACACTATCTCTTCAGAGAGTGGTGCTGAAACATGACCTTGCGACTTCATCCCTGCATTTCCTCAGGTCCCTGTGATAACACACTGCAGATGTCCTGAAGATACCAGTCTTCGAGCCGTTCCTTTGAAGACAGTTTTACAAGTGGACCTCGACAGAAATTCACAGATTGAGAGGTAAGAAATGAAAGACGAAAAGGAGAACCAGATGGAAAATGCAGTGTCAATGAAATGGAAAACCACAGAGGATACAGTTATGACAAACTATGGCTGAGGAAAGTCCTACAAAAGCAATTGTGGTAAGATACCTTCACGCTGTCCGTGAACGAAACATTTACGGTCAGGAAGTGTTGACTCTTTCTCAGAGAATTCTGACTGCAGCAATGAATTAATCCACTACATAGCCCATTGTATACAGTGCATATATCCTGTATACTACATGCTAACTGAGTCGTTGAAGAGACAAAGGAAAAACTAATCATTCTTATCTGTCACTCAAGAGACACAGAGAGAAAAAAACATTGATCCTATTTCATGGGTTTGTATTTACACAGACATTAAAATAAAGTATACACATTTAATTTTCCAACTGCTTGGATTAATTGTAAAATTTCTTGATCTGTGACTGGCTAACATCAGGTAATAGTGACCAAAATTTGGGTATTTGTGAGAATTGTCTATTCACACTTACTTCATTGGTACTGAATAGAAAGGACAACAATGCATAGTGTGTCAAGTCCATGATGGTTGGGGCTGTTCAGACACGGGCAGGTCGGCTGAACTACTTTCACCTTTGAGCTCCACCAATCAGCAACAGAGCCTTCGGGGTAAACTTTGCCCTGAGTGGTTAATCAGGTAAGCAGGGGCCCCAGCTTCTAGTCTACTGTTGCTCAGTCTGGAAATGGGGATTCAAGTAGATAACTGACACTGATGGCATGTTCACATACTATTGTAAAGTGCTCTGTTGGTTGATTTTTTTTCCCCAGTCATTCAACCTGCCACCAAATATTCACTATCACACAGAGCGCTCCATTTGTTTCAGAACAAATACAGTCATCTTCAGAAGGTTTTGTTCTAACAACATGATTTTTCTTAATTATAGTGACAAGCAGATCTGGCTGATTAAACAAAATATACTGTGCGCATCTTTTATTTTAAAAACATAAAAGAACATTCAGATTCATTTAGATCATTCAGTTTAGTGATGTAAACAAGAAGGTCTGCCATGACATAGATGGGAGAAATAAATCATAATTTTCACATCGTCTGCATATTCGAGGGACGTGATATCTTCCGCAAACATTGTGTGACATATGTGTCATGACACAGGGGCCAAAAGGCTTTGCCTAAGTAAATAATGACGAAAAATTATCAAATGCAGGCAGAAGAATGTCAACAGCCTGACGTTTGGCATTTTCCTTAGCCAAATGTAAATGTACCCGAGTGTTGCATCTTTTAAAATAGATAATGAGGATTTTTGTGTGTGCATGTTCGTGTATTAGGCAAATGAGGCAGTTGTTTGGCACCGAGAAACAGCACAGAGTATATGGTGATGGCAATGTTTTTCTGAATAAAATCTGCCCACTCTCGGACCACTGGCAAACACATCAGGTTTTTCCAGATAATTTTAAACTAGTTTGATATTTGTGGGAATTGAATTGTAATGTCACTGCTTTCTGAACACAACCCAATAGGTGATGAGACAAACATCTGAAGTAGTGATCATGAAACCCCTGTGGTTTAAACTGAATGCCAAGGTGGAGAAAAAGCTAGCAAAGATGTGGCAAGAACAAGAGGCTGATATCCAGAGCGGTAATCACAAGCCATGTTAACGTAGCCAACATATCAAATCATATGATTGCCAATAAACACAGCACACATTTACACCAAACCTCATATGCTTCAACCTCAGATATCTAAGTGTGGTGCTACAAAAATTTTCAAAACATACCTTGCCCTAATGTTAACATTTTAGCATATTGTGCCAGTTACACCAAATGTTTTATCATCAAAGAAAGTAAAAAGTAGTTAACTTCCAGCAAGTGCTTCCTCTTGACAACACTCTTTTCAAATACAACAAAGGAAATAGATTCATCCAATGAAAAAAGTCCTCAGATTATTCAAAAACCAAAACAATTTCTAGATTCAGCCCTAAAACTATCCCACTGATCCTTTCCTGCCTGAAAACACAATACTTGATTTCCAGCTGCATGATTTCTATTTTAGAAGAGAATCAACTTCTCTATTTATTTTAGGCATCAACTCAAACAGCTGGTGGTGAGTTGCCAGATAGGTAACATTTGGACAATTTGTCATCTGCCAAAAAAGGACAGTCAGCACTTCTACAGATTACACAGCCTCATGTGACCAAGCACTATGACCTTTCACGGGGAGGGGAACCATGTACCAATCACCGACCTTTCTGTTAATCTGTATTATGTCAATTGAGAAAAAGACATTATGCAAAACACATAATATCTTGTAGCTGTATCGCATTGCAGACTATAGGGGCTCAATTTGTCAATTCAATTGTTGAACTGTGGAGAAAAACTTTAAAATGTTTGTGGTTTGAAAGGTCATGATTGTTGGGCCTAAAGTAGTTAGGTTAGTTAGTTAGTTTTAGCTCTTATGTAGCCTACATAATGGGTCTCTGCAGTCAACACACTCTTTGTATGAGTGTCATTACCTGTTATGATAAACCTGAGAGTCTGGTCAAACATTTGAGAGGGGAAATGGTGGTGGTGGTGTTGTGGGTCCCTAAACTCCACAAAGGAGTAGTAGAGAGGTGGTTTCCCATGTTACCTTTGTTTATCTTACTGGCCTTTAATGGCTAACCATTAATTCAAAATGCTAAATTTCTCAACAATAAAAAGCCACTTGAACAACCTTCAATGGTTATTTGCATAAATCATAAAAACAAACAATAATGTTGTTTGCAAATCAGCTGTGAACCTTTAACATTATTCTTCACAAAACCAGCATCAGAGTACTTCCCAGGGTCCTCATAACATGCAGTGAGTTGGCCTCCTGGCTATTCCCTGCTACTGTGTCCAGAAAGCAGTTATAAAACTGGAGCAGCAAGTTGCCATATCCCGTTGAGAAAAGCTAAGTCATCCTCAAGCCTGTTGTTTACTCTATTGAGAAAGAACAATTTTGGGCCATTACAGCAAACACTTTGTTTTCGGGGATTATATCAAGTGATGCAGAAGTGAGAACATGCTGAAATGGCAACTAAAAGTTTTCACCCAGACTGTAAATAAGGCTGACCATTGATGGTAAAAATGGTTTGTTCTTCCAACAAATGGTAAATAAGATGTAGTGTCGAATTTGTGTTATAAAGCCATCAGTGATTACCACCCATAAAGACATACACCACAAACTAACACTAACAAAAATGCTCACAATCAGATGGTGAAGTAGGATTTTGACTTCCTCTTCATTAAATCAGACATTATTCTGTCATGAATGTGAGATTCTAGCTAGTTTTAGCTAGATTTTAGTTTTATTGCTTTCAGAAAAAAACTTTTCATCAACCCTGTGCTTTCTGTGAAAGCATACCTCCTCTCAAGTTGCAGGCCTTGTCATTCAAATATCAATAATGGAGATCCACAAGGAAAGGATGTAGACTTGACAGCTAACATGTGCTACTGAAGTTATTTGCTTTTGCATCAGAGCTGTTGTAGGCAATGAAGAGGTTTTCCAAGTGAGTGACAAATAAGCAGAGAATCACAAACAAAACAATGACGATTTACTGCAAGTATGAAAAAATTCCTGGTTGAGTAAGAAATATTTTTTATCCTCACCAAGTATATATTACATATATTGGATGCATGTAACATCGTATATAATATGTGTGTGTGAGAAGCATGAGTGTGAAAGTGTATGAGTGATCAGTCAGTCAGTGTAAGGCAGTAAACACTAATCATTACAGAAACTGTGATAAACAATATTTGATTGTGCACATCTGACAATTCTCTACAACCATCTGCAGGAAGTGGTCATCCTTTGATGTATTCCTAAGTTGTTTTGTAACTCATTTAACCCTTGACATGACCATCTACCACCTTTGACACAGGGAGAGCTGAATGTGACTGCACAACCATTACTTCCCAAGGTAGTCACTGTATTGTGTTATTGGTCTGAGAAAATCAAATGCTCAGAGAGAATGCGGTGAGAATGGATCACAAACCAAAAACTTAAGGAGGCTGTCTCATGATGAAAAAATCTCAAAACAACAGCCATGTGCCCTACTCAAGTGCCCCTGAGCAAAACAGTGGCTTCCTACTTGCTAACTCATGGTTAAGTCACAGTTATTGTAAACGACTACATGGCAAACTATGCTCAGAAAAGACACACACACCGTTTCAGGTTCAGAAAAAATAGCTGAAGTTAGTGCACAGAAGATGAGGCCTACACATGCCTGTCACTGTGCGCAGCCGTGCAGATGAAAGCACCCAAGGAAAAGCTGGCATATTTTGTGTAACAGGTTACTTTATTACAACGTAACAAATAGGATATAAAGTGCACTTACGTAACGTCTCAACTTTTTTTCAGGAGGAGACTTTCTCAGCCACCCTGAGCACACCACATCTCCCCCACTCATATCTGCTCCTTTCTTGCTCTCCCTGGAGTAAAAGCGAAGATCGCTGGTTGGCTTCGTTTGTTTTTGGGAGTGTCTTCTTGTACCTGAAAAAAAGACGTTGACACAAAGCTCATACGGTGAAGTTGAAATTTTAAAAAGTTGAAATGTTGTAGTTTTGTGTATTTTTTGAACGCGATAAATATCTTCACTCCTTCTTCGAAAGTCTACTCACCGACAAGGCAGTTGTCTGAAATGTACAGACCAGATTTTCCACGAGTTGTAGTCAAATAAACGGGAATATCCTGAGGTTGGAGTGAATATAAACCTCTGCGGCACCGCCTTTTGTACAAATATCAACGGTGACTTGTGTATTTTGTTCAAACTGGAACGCTGTGTGGCCAAAAAATAAGACACAGGCAATTGAAAGTCGCTAAGTTTTTGTTGTTATATGTACCGCCTCATGCTAATTCCCGTCAAAGTGGAGCGATTCCCAGTTGGCGAGCTTAAATGTCCCACAGTGTACCGGTGCATAGTTGTCGTTTCTTCGCAAATTAAAACAAGCTTCACCGTAAACACAGTGGTTCCGCCGAGCTTCCCTACCAGTTTACTCCCATGGTTCCTTAATTGTGATTGACAGGGTGGCTCCGTCTTTCCCTAAACTCACCCTCCTCTGGAACATGGCGGTGTCAAGCCAACGGACCTAACCATAAAAGGACCGGAAGTGTAGGGGCTCTCCTTTCAAAATGAAACGTTTGGCTCACCCAGAACGTTTGTTTCAACAACCATTTATCATAACAACGGCTAAAATTTGACATTTTGAGTTACGCGTATTTCGCTATTTCAGTCTTTTTTGATCAATATTAGACTACCATAAATATCTTTGTTAATTTGTTGAACCTTTCAGAGTTATGGCAAGTTATGCCGGTTGGTGGAAACTAGATTTTTCCTAAACAACACGTGTATTTTCATTCGATGATTACAACGACGTGTTTACGAGGCATAATACATTCCTTCATCATGTTCCGTTAATAATATTTGTCACTGACAATTTTGTTTTGAAAGTTAAAACCGGAAGTTATATTCATATAACTCGGTAAGTTTAACCACCAGTTGGAGGACGAACTGGGGAGGCGGCGGCGTGCAGGGAAAACTGTAGCGTTTCAACCATGGGACATGTAGTTCAAAATCATTTGTGTTCGTTCCCAAAAAACAACAAAAGAGTGAAAGGCGGGTTGGTAGATGAATCATGATGTAATAGAGCTAAATTAATCTTTGGGTGAATACAAAAAGTGGCCCCAGACAGTTGAAGAAAAGACAAAGAAGGGACCCACCTCAGTGTGAACCGAAAGGTCCCAACAAATCATTGCACGTCTAAACTACACCATCCACAATGCGTAATGTATTCCCTAAAGAAAGCTCGCCCTTAAAATAATCAGTAATTGACTTTGAACTATGGCAATATGTACCTCAGGCCAGCTTTTGCGGAGGGTCATGAGCAATGGCAGATGTAAATGAGATGTAAAATTATTTTTATTGATAAAGCTGTGCATGGAGTATGTTTACATTATACACTTTTTTTTTTTTTACCTATCTACATGAGTTCGACACTACAAATACTATATCCGTGACAGATTTTATCATATGTTTGTTTTTCATTTGAACTGTATTCTTAGATGTAACAATTCCTAGCTTTACCAGTACTGGTTTAATTGGCCGACACCAAGGTGGTTAGAAATTGGTTATAAGCCTGATATTGATCTGGTTTTGCCAAAACCTGATCAATTTCCTTGGGTGAAGAGAGCATCTATAACTGATCTAGTCCACTGGCTAAGACGTGGTTCCCGAGGACTCAGATCGGTATCTGAGGAATCTTATTGGAATGCTATTGTAGTGGTAAACACTACCCCCAAAGGATTTTCCCTGTAAGTCTATGATTAATGACTTTGCCATTATACAGGCACATTACCTCTTTCAACAGCCTCGGTATTGATGAAGAAACAGAGAGTAATTAAAGGCTGTAGACACAATACACAAATTCCAGTTTATGAATTAATTTTCCACAATACCACATATTTAGCTCTAGATGCATAAGATTTCATGAAATTAGTTTGTTTAAGAGATTGTGTATTTGTGCCTGTGAAATCCTGTCTTTGTCTGTTGTTGTGCTTCACAGGTGCATAAATCTTTAGTTTGTGGACACTGAGGATATTTGACTTGCAGTGCATAACTCATTTGTACCAACACTAGATGAAAACCTTTGTAAATATTACAAAATGCTAATATGACATTAAATGTAAAGAGACAATATAATATACCAGTCCCAGGAGTTAACATTTGAACAAAAATGTAATGGTTTGGTTGATAAATAATTGAGAGTCATTGATTTTTGCAAATGCCCTTTGAAAGCTTTGTACCTACTGCAGTGTTTTTTTCCACATCAATTGCAAATTAGTAAAAATGGTACCTTTACAAATAATCGCTATTGCTACAATACAACTGCCATTTGTCCTATGCCCGTGGGAATCGTGAGTGCATGTGATTTCCCAGTTCCCTTTTCAGTCACTTGGTTTGTCTATTCGCACTTCCATCTACACAAATATATTTTGCAAAGCAAAGCAACAAATGGGAGGATACACATGCTTGTTTTGATGAATTATGCAACCACATACAGCTGTTTTTTTTTTTTTTTTTAATCAGCAAAGTCACTTACATACTAAAATTTTCATGTTTTTATGGAATTTTTCAGGTCTGCAATCTCAGTAATGTGCTGAATTTAACATTTAAACATTTTCATTTTAAAGAATTGAATAAAAAAAAGTATTATTTGCAGTTTCAAATCCATCTCACCACACAGATGTAGCTCCCACAAGAAAACTAGCACTCATTACAAGGTCTGTATGAACTGCAAGGACTAGAAATCATGTACAGCAGTTAAGATGTTTTACTACAGATGACTTCAAGTGGTCAGTATATTTTCTGCAGTGGAAATGCTGAAATATGGAAATATGAGAAGTAAGGTAACACAGACATTTAGGTATACTTGAGCATACCAACATGAGCATAACTTTGGTGTTCAGTTCATTTCCACAGAAATAAATTTAAGGTTTCCAGACACCATCTGCTCCTTTGTATTTCCATGGCTCAATTGAGTGTTCATCTATTTTCTTCCATCTTTTTCATCTCTTATCATTACTGTATGTCCTTTCATATATTTAACATTACATTTATAGTTTAGTCCCCCAACATCTGCCCACCTCTTTGCCCACATACCACTTTAAATAACTTTACCTTCCTGGTTAAGTAAGACATACAACAAATACTGATTTCTTTTTACTGGAGGGAAAGGTGAAGCCATTGTGAATATTAACACAGTACAGCCGAGGTGTAAATTCAGAGAAATTCCTCTTCAAAAGTCTGCATTAAATATCAAAAGGCACATAAAATCAGCATGAACACAAAAGTCTCCCTGAATGATCAAATCAGAGGAATACATTAAAATATGCTGCCAAAAAGTTACCTGTAGTCAAATATGTTTAAACAAGTAGTTTGCAATTTAGTCCTCTGTAAATCACACTAGCTAACAGTGTGAGAACAGCTTCTAATATTCTTACTGAAAATGCTTTTTGGAAATTTCCCATATATAGATTTCACTTTCCATATATATTTTGTATTCCATGATTATGCAGAAATCATGTTCAAGTCATATATACATTTATTGCATGGGATATGAAACCTATAAAACACCAAAGCACACATCAAAAAGATTCAAATATCTTGAAAATCAAACTCCACAGCTCGTGAAGAAAATCTGCTGCATGCAAATCAGAAAAGTAAACAAAGTTTGTGAGCTGTGTATTCAGAACTATGACAAATCAAAAACATTTTATCTTACAGTTGATACTTTCTTCTGTATTGTGCACTGCACATGCATGTGTTTGCATATGTTTGTGTGTGTTGTGTGTGAGGTAATATTATAAACACTCAAGACAAGCTAGATAACATGAGCATGTTCTAGACTGAACCAGTTTTACACTGGTTCACACATTTAATCATGTGTAATGTAAAGATTATTATGAGGTTAATGGTTATTGAAGTTATTTCAATAAAATCAAATGATATTTTGCCATATTTCTTTAATTTAAGGGAGAGAATACACTTGCACCAGTGAGTGTTTTCCACCTCAAGTTTTAAAATTATTTGAAAGTTAATGAAAGATTACAATACTAGGATCACAAAAAAATACCCTGAATAAATAAAAATTTAAATATTAAATGATGACTGAAATAGTGGTATGAAAACCATTTTAGTCAAAATCAAATCTAAGATCAGCACAGATACTGTGTGTGTGTGTGTGTGTGTGTGTGTGTGTGTGTGTGTGTGTGTGTGTGTGTGTGTGTGTGTGTGTGTGTGTGTGTGTGTGATTTCAGTGCTCTTTTTAATGAAGTTATATGCACATCTATGATATGACAGTTCAGGCTCTTGAATCAAGCAGTCCAGGACTCCTTTAGTGCCAGTTCATATGGGTCTCTTGCAGCATTTCGGTCTTTCAGAATACCAGTCTGCTAATGGTATTGAAGCCCCCCCCTCCTCCTCCTCCTCCACCAGATGGACCACAGCTCCCTGGTGGGTTATTGTCATCTGAACCGTTGGGCCTGAATGAGCAGGAAGATGAAGGAGCCTGGAGAGCCTGGGTCCGAGCATTCAGCTCCTGTTCCTATTGACATTATGAAGGAAAGAGAAATGTTTTCACGTCAGTTTATTTCTAACTGTTAAAGTAGGAGTGTGAAACATATACAATAACAACAATGTCATGCCAAAGAGTTGATACAGCATGTGACTGACAGGACATCAGTGCTGCCACTTCACACTGTTACAGCTCCCTCTAGAGGTGATTTACTTTAGTTACTTATACAAGCGTGGTGGAATGTCAACCTAACACGGCACAGTCCAATGACTCGTGAAATTACACCTCATGTCTTATAACAGGACAGTTCAGATTACAGTTGAAGTACAGTCAAAAAAGTCCCATACCCTGCAGGCTCTTAGTTATCTGTAAAAGTACGCTCTGTTTTCTCTCAGCCATTTTCCACCTCAGAGAATCTTGCAAAGTCCTCGACTTTCATAATAACCTCACACTTAGGAGGTTTACTGGTAATGACATTATACGTCAAATGCATGTAAACCATGAAAAATAAGCACAGTTTCAGCCAGAATATCCAATGAAACTCTTCGCAGCAGATTAAATATGTTCTCTAATGTGTCTCACCTCACACTTGGTCTGTATTTACTGGTATGAGTTTTAGGCACTGATAAATTAAATGTGTACCACAATGCCTACAAGTGGGAGAAGTATGTTTCTTTTGTTAACCTTCACTTACCTGTAAATACAGCTTGTTGTCCTTGATAATTGCATCAAGCAATTCTTTCTGCAGGGGAGGTTCAGCATTCAGTCTCATTCCATTTGCCATCAGTCCCCCATTTATGTCCTGCCCTAGTAGCTCCTGTTTTCTGTACATAAGCACATAAGCTGTGTCCTTGGGAAAGCGATTAGTAATGTTTTGCACCGATTGGAAGGATGTGAATGTCACTCTGCTGTCGTTGAACAGCAGCCAATCTCTTGCCTCCTGGACACTATTAGGGACTGTGTCTCCTTGTTCGGGTGGAATTGAGAGAGCTGAGCAAGTGGAGAGGCTACACTCGGCCTGGCCGTTCCCCAAATCCTCCTTGAGGGCAAAGTGATTGGCTGGATGCTGTGTTCCATCTGCTCCGTTGATGTTATGGCCGTAAGAGTAGTAGTGGCCGCTCTCGGATGATATACCAGAATGCATCACCACTGAGCTGAGAACATAGGGCACTGACAGGACAGACATTTCTCCTCCTCCAGTTATCTGCTCTTTTCCATCTATCCTCTCCTTCTCCTCTTCCTCCTCATCTTTTTGAGATGGTTTGAGTTTCTTGGCCAGATTCTCACTGCTCTCAGGAGAATCCACTTGCAGGTTAGAAGAGGTAGAAGAGGAACATTGTACAGGCATTGAAGGGGCATGTACTGGAAGTCTCATTAGTGGTGGGATGGTGACATTTTCCAGAATCTTCCTCCGGACATGGCATTTGGCATCATATGAGAATCTCAGCAGGGTGAGGATCAAGTACTCAGGTGCTGACACCACTTTCATGGTCTTCTCTGCCCGCTGGAGGGAGCTGCACTTCTCGCAGAAATAAGCATTGTCTTCATCCAGGATCTCTGGAGCCAGAAAATAGTTCACCAGGTCAGGCACAGAGAGAGGAGGCTCATTTGTCACTGGCACAAAATGGACATTGCTAGCTGGGGCTTTGGCTGAGCCTGGATCAGGAATTTCACTGCCACCATTGACAGATCCCTGACAGAGAACCTTGGGCTCCTCTGAGGGCCCCTCAGGCTGAGGGCGATACTGAGAGGTGGCAGAAGGACAGAAGGCCAAAGAGAGGTCTGTAAAAGGCTCCTCTTTCTCAGAGATGCAGTTGCACTGCATGCAGCGAATTCCTGTGATCAGTTTCCCACCAAACATCCTTTCTATCAAAGTCTTCCCATCATTCCCAGGTTTGGTTTCTGCAGGAGTCAAAGACAACTCTTCACCTTGCTCTGGAGAAGCCTGACCTGTTGGGTCTTTGCTGCTTGGGTCAACAACCTTTGGCTTAGCTGATTCCAGGACCTGAAGGGTTCTCTCCTCTTCATGTAACCTTGAGATCAGGAGACAGGGACAATCAACATGAGGACAAAATACTACTGTGTACTTATTATAATTTGTGCCACTGCTGTGATAGTGTACCAAATCCATTCTTTCTTTACAATAGTTAAAGAAAGTCATATTATTCAGTTCTAAAGAAAACACACAACACATTAGTAAGCTCCAATCATGCACATTCAACACTATCAATGTTTTATATGCTTTCTGTTCTTAATAGGAATAGCTTTTATATTAACACTTTTTTACATTCTGCATTTAGTGATGCACAAATGATGCACCCACAATGTATTATTGCCATTCATTTGGGATGGGAGAACAAAACAAGAAAAAACATTTTATCTTATTTAAACAAACTTGACATAATCTTACTACACCTGATTCATCCAGTCTGCTTGGAGTGCTACAGTACCTGTCTAGAAGAAACCTGAGGTACTCAGAACAGTCCTGCTGAGAGCCCACATTGAACCAGGGAGGCCGAGATGCTTCCAAGAAGTTTCTGGGAGCATATGCTGCCCTCTATAGGACACAGACAAACACACATGCATGACATACATACACAGACACAGACACACACACAGACACAGACACACACACAGACACAGACACACACACAGACACACACACAGACACAGACACACACACAGCATCATTGTCACCAACTTTTGCAGTTCTCATATCAATATTTTGTGTTATCACAGTTACACAGAACAACACTAACCTGAGTGTGCGCAAGGAAAGCAAAAAGCAGCTGAAGCTTTTTCATTAGTGTGTTGGAACCATTTAGTTGTAATGATAAAACATGCCTTCTGAAACTGGAAGAAATAGTTTGTATTTAATACTCCTGTTTCACAAGAACATTTCACACAAATGCAACATTTGTATATGTATATGTGTATGTGTGTCTGTGTGTGTCTAAATGACTCACTCTGTGGCCATGAAGAGGGTCTGGATGATGCTATTCATGTAACAGGTATTGCCCAGGTTAATCAGGCCTGTCTTGCCTGTCTCAGACTTCCCAGCTTGCCTCAGTAGACCAGACACAAATGAGTTGGACTGAGATGTCCAGGCACTTTGATTCAACACCAGTTTTATCTTTTCCTCTCCAGGTTTTGGAAGATCCTGACAAGACATATTAAAATAATTTAATCAGACGACATGGCAAAAAGTTTACATGCAAAATCAACATCAACTCTTGATAGGTTTTGGTTATTTATTCAGTGTTAAAAATGCACCCAGTTTGCCAGAAAGGACATTTCTTGCATGAGTTGTCCTGCACTTTTACCTTGATGGCCTCTAGTATGTGGTCATAGAGGTCAGGGAAGCCAGAGTACTGGTACATCATGCATTGTATGAGCTCGGTGAACTGCAACAAGAAAGCTTTACTGGTAGGGAGACCATCTGTCCTTAAGGATTGGACTAGGTGCACCACATGTGGAACAACCTGAGACGGTGAGGGAAGAAGAGAAGAAAAGAAAAATGATAAAGACAATGTGGTGCTGAAAAAACTGGAAGGTACTGCTAATATTGATCATACAAATCTGCAAGTCGGTCAGCCAGAGGGTAGCTACACATAAGGAACCCCACAGAGGGTTCAGACTCATTTGCTGAGTATATTTGAGCCTATTCATGTTTTTAGATACTAATGAAATTGGCCAACTCAAGGGCCATTGCTCGGCATTTAAGTACTTCACACATCATTAGTGGGAGAGCGTTGCCGAGCCGGGGGTTCTGGGAGAAGAAGTCTATGCTTTGAAGTAATTTAAGCCAGAGGAGAAGAAAATGAGAAAACCAATAAAGTGGCCATATGAGAGGGAAATGGGCTGTGAGGAGACAGGGGACCCCTTACCAAATGGAAGGCCTCAGGAGAGTGCTGGAAACTCAGCAGCATATGAGACAGCACAGCTAGCGCCCCCTGCCGCACTATGGGGTACCACAGACGACTGAAAACCTGTGGGTTAAAAAATAAATCTTTATGCCATAAATACATTTATTTAAACTGGGGAAATGCTTCAATAATTCAAGTAAGTCTTTTTACCAACCTCAGGTATATTATCTTTGAGATGAATTGCAAGCAACCTAGCTTAATTATTAGTGTAGTTTAACATCTGTGTAGATTTAGAAGATGCATACAATTTCTCATTCCTGAGATCAATAGTAATTAAAATAAGGAGTTCTCAGTACAAACCAGTTCAATCTTGAGCAGAGTGACATCAATAAGGATAGTGAACTTCTGAACTGCAGCAAGTCCTTTCAGTAAAGCAATGACCCAGGTATCAACATGCTGGGCCAGAGGCCAAGAAAGCCAGTCAATCATCCTAGACAGACAGAAAAAGGGCGTGTGGAATGTAAATAATGTGTAGCAATGTTGGCATTAAATAGATCTACAAACTGAATATACAATTAGGGCCAATGTGAAAAGAATTTAGACATGCGTACCTCCAGCTTACATATTTTATAGATGTAAGAAACATGAGTACATACAGACTGTAATTTGTCTAATTTAATTATCTGATTTATTTAAGAATTGAAGAAAAGACTCTGGTCAAGTCATTCATCTCAAAATACTGAATGTGTGAGGTAACCTGCAGAGTGCTTTAGTCATGCTTGCGTCTTTAACATTCTGGTCTGTGGTCAGGCTCTTGATAAGCACTGTGATCATCTGGATGGGGATGTGCTGGACCAGGCTGGCAAGGGCGATGGATGGGTCAAAGGCGGGGTCTGCGAGATGTCAATCACAATCAAAGTGGAATATAATTACACAACTGTCAATTTTTTACAACAACAACGATGAACATTTTAGACGTACTCCCTGATATAATGCAGTGCAACACCAACACAAACTCAAAACTTAAGACAACACTGTTGGTTTGAAACATCTCAAGTTTCACAAGTTTGTGTTCATTACAAGGCTGGTTATGTTATATTTTAAGTAGTTCCTGTTGCTAAGCCACTTGAAAATTCTTTCACTCGGGATGTCTTAATCAGGTTTTTAGCCCCCCCAGTCCAGTTCTTTAATACTGAGTGTTGAGTATCAGCCAATATTGAGTGAGAGTACAATGTTTATTTCTTCATACATAATACAGCTGCACAGAGTACACTTAAGCTATTTAAATTGCTTTCACAGCTGAGCAACTCTGTATTTACAAAATATCTTGCATCACAGCTTTCCTTTGATATTTCCTTATAATATTTTGTATATATAATATAGTTTTTGGTATCTGTGAAGAAGAGTGTAGAGCTGTGGATTTTTTTTTTTGTTTGAACAGGATTCTGACAACATACCTACATACATCCCTACCACAAACAAAATACTGAAGCTACAGCACTTTAGAAGTGCAGTTCATCTGAAAAATGTCACTGAAATAGAGGCAGAGTGACCTTTTAACCCACTGAGGCTCTGCTCACATCGCTGCTCACTCACACACGCTGTGACTATTTAATTGAAACTGAAGCCTGCTGTTTGTTTATTTTGTGCTGATCCGCAGTTCAGTCACCAGCAACACAGCACAGTAGGCTCAGGACAACTCTGAAATTTACCATCAATAAAAGAACTGCAGCTTTGACTTCAGCTGAAGTACTGTATTCTGAACTCAACGACATCTTCACAGCAAATACTTTTCAGTATTTGTCCTTGAAGAAAATGCACTCTTTGAATCAGTGGATTTGAAGGTAATTGCAATAAGCAATTACAAGTGTGTAAAATGAGGTTACTACACTAAAATGAAAATAATGAGTGTGTCAATAATGGTGAATATTATTTGTGTTACATCCAAAGAAGAAAAAAGGTAACTGTTCGTGGGTGCTCAATATTGTGCTAACAACCCTGCCAAGATTTATGGTGGAGGGGTTTTAAGTCATGGGTCTATGCTGCCAAATGCTAATAGCCTTTTCTATTACTCGTAGGCACATGAGTTCATATTCAATTTTTAGCCCTATTAAACCTACAGAAAAATAAAGACATTTTTTTTTGTTGCGCTAAATTATGTTCCCCTGTATTATAGCCATTTTGGAGGGAAGGTGTCTCACCTGTTGAAGAGATGATGGCAAAGACTTCCTGCAGTGAGGGAAGCAGTGTGGCAGGCTCAGCCTTCCAGATGTTCTGCAGCAGTGTGCTAACCTTAGTCACCTGACGTACATACTCTTTTAGCTCCAGCTCTTGGCTAGAAAAGCAGTGGAAGTAACTGATGGTCCTGACCAGCTGCTGGCAGAACAAGACGCCCGACTTATCTCTCGGGATGCACTGCACAAAGTCAGACAGCAGAGTGCTCAGACGGGCACAAACAGCAGGCTCCGGACGTTCACACACCATCCTTAAAACCTCCACCTGGATCACACTGAAGATCTCCAACACTGAGGGGCAGCTGATGAGAAGCCGCAGGCAGCAGTGAATGTAGTCTATTATGGCTGGGTCTTTGCGGTCCAGCTGGCTGTAGCCCTGCTGGAGAAGACTGAGGACAAAGTCTTTACTGAAGAAACGCTCAAACTCTGGGCGGTGGTAGCGTGCATAGGCTTCCAAAACCTGGAAGCCAATCTGCTTCTGGAAGGCATCTTCACCGAGCAAGATGAGCCGGGTGGTGAGAGTAAACAGTGCCTGACACTGCTCCTCTGTCACCTCTTTCTCTGCTGCTTCCACTACCTTCTTCACAATGGCCCTCTTCACTGGAACAGAGTGATCGGAGCTCACGAGGCCCTCCAAAATCTTGTCCATGATGATGGTCTGTAGAGGGCAATTCAGGAAAGAATGAGTTGACACTAAAATAAAGGTGCATGTCACATTTGTGATATCACAAATTGTCTATATTGTTTAAATCATATTGAACACATAGGAGAGATTTGTCCCATTGGTGTGCAGAGCTCTTTTCACCCCCAACTCTCGGAGTACACCAATTGTCTGCATTCGGTGGGTGAACACTGTCAGCATACAAACATAGAACATGTTTACTCAGCTGAACAGGCAGCGACAGGGACTGTTGAGTCGAAAATAGGCATTTTACACGTTTGACAACTACGCCGAAGTATTACACAAACACACAACATGATAGAAAACATCAATTAAAAGTGTTTTTGAGCAATGAATCTTAATTATGGTCATTACTAATAATTATTTTCATAACTGACTAATATATTGATTTTATTTGTCTAATGATTTTTGATAAACATTCAAGAATGTGGAACCAGCAACTGTGGAACATTTTGCTTGAAAAATTACTAGAAAGAGTTAAATGATTTTAGAAATTGTGTCAGATTAATTTTCTCTTATCTACTAATATTTTCAAAACCAATTCAAATGTATTAATGGAAAAAATGTAAAGCAAAATAACATGTTTATTAAACAGTGATTATATTTCTATAGACTGAGCCTTATACGCCAATTTAACCTATACACGGTTGACATTTAATTTTTAATCAAACATACATGTACAACATGTCAAGGTAGTTTCATCTGTCACAGAACTTTTGTCTCAGTTTTGGCCATCATTTTCTCTATGGAGATTTTTGTTGGGTTACTATAACTAAGAGTTTCTGCAGGTTTCACCGAATTAAATTTAAGGTTTTTTGATACATTTTTAATACCACGTAGAACACAATTTAATGCCTGTTTCTTGGTCATACTGGTCAATGCATGAAAAATATAGGTGAATCATGTACTTAGCAAATAATTCTACTTCTAGTTAAGTGCAATGAAGTTATTGCAATTTATATCACATTTCTGTCAGCAGTTGCAAGCAGAATAACAATAATTAATCATAATATAATTAATCATCACAACAAGACATGTACCTTGATAAGCAGCTGAAAATGGATGGATAGATAGATGACTTGAATAATCAATTAAAAAAATAACTTATATAAGGTCCACTTATGAACTGTATATAAATTCAGATGTCTGTAACAATACTAGTGGGAATTTAACAACCAATTTTAGTTAAAGATCACATACTAAAACATTGGATTAGTAACATTGCTGTCAACAGCAGGCTAGAAAAAAACATTAGAAATTAAATTTAAGACTTTTTAATACCTGCTAAGGCTTTTTCAAGGAACTAAAATCAGTGCTTTCTAAGCCTTTTCAAGACGACAGCTGTTCTGTATCAGATTAATCTGATATTTCATTGTTTGTGTGGCTGTCACTCTTCATATATTCTAGTATAGTTCTAATATCTTATATTGCCACAAATGTACAGTGAATATTCCGCATAGTATAGTATGAGTCTGCCTTTGTTATCAGAAACGTATATATTTTTTTATACTTTATTTAGTCCATTTAGTTACTCTATATAATTCAGCCTTTATGCACTGTTCGTTACTTACCTTGTTGTTTTTGAGATTTAAATGAACACTGCAATTTCCCTTTGGACTTAATAAAGTACTCTATTTATCTATCCATCTATCTATGACCTGCAGAGTGCAAATAATGTGGTGTTTTTGTACAACTTTTTTTTTCCCCTCACTCCAACATAATGACTCATCTATTAATTATCTGCCTTAACAACGTCTAATCCTAGCAAAAAAAAGTATTATTTGGTTACCTGTATTTAACACCATTTACATGTTTTTTTTTTAACTCGACACCTGAGAACAGCGACGGTGCCGTAATAACGACCCCCACCGTGAAAAGCACCGGCTGCTGTCTGTGCTTGTGTAGAAACAGGCGGCTAGCTTATGCTAACGCTAGCTGTAATGTTAAAGGAAATCTGTACGTCCGACAGTTAAAAACGTGGCACGGATGCTAAATACAACTATAAGCCCCTGGAGACAGTTCTCCCGCTCCATAGAGATAGCTGTTATTAACATTCTATAACAACAAAAATGAACAAAGCAACCAAACAGGCCTGACACTAGCCGAGTAACGTTAGGAGCCACTGACTTAGCATAAATACCGCTAATATATACATTAGCGCGATGCTGAGGCTTTATAGTGCGTGCTTACCCAAATAAAGCATGTCAACAGTATCCGACTTGAATATCCTCAACTGTCGGTCGGAGTTTAACGACTTTTAACAGATAAAACCGTGTTATTTTGGTCCATTTGTTCGCTCACAATCAGCTGATTAACCCTCCTCTAGCGTCATTCCTATGGACGGAGATGATGGTAGGACCCCTGAGCGAAGCAATCTTCGTCTTAACATTGCCTGTTTACGCAGTTATTTAATTTTAAATAACAAAGTCGGAGGTCTTCTGTGAACAACGTTTCTGAACGTTTCTGAATGACAAGATTTAAATGCAGTCAAACCGCCGTTGAGATATTTAAGAACTTCTGAGAAGTTTGTGTACAGTCGATGTGCTGCATTCAAGTACTCCTCGTGTATCACCTCTTCAGTGGTCTGAAGTATTCACACCATTTACTTAACTAAAAGTACTAATACCATACGGTAAAAATGCTTTATCACAAGAAAAAACCCTGCATTCAAAATCGTACTTAATTAAAAGTAGTAATAATATAATTAGGAAAATGTGCTTAAAGCATTAAAAGTAAGAGCACACAATGCAAAATTCGATAATACATACTGTATGTAAATATGTACATTTGTAAAGGCTTGCAGAGTGTGCACTGTTAAAACAAAAGTGGATGTGGAATTTTATTTGGCCAAGTTTATTTCAGCTTTTTAAGATATCAAATCAAGTCAAGTCAATGTATTTATGAAGCATATTCAAAAACAACAAACGTTAACCAAAGTGCTTTACAGAGGGATCTTATTATGCAATTTGATTAATGATTACAGCCAAACAAAAACATAGGAATTGTCAAATAAAAACACAGACATATATAGGAAGATAGCAAGTAAAAATGTAAGTAAAATAATATAAGCATAGAACATCTGGATAAAATAACATAAACAGCATTGCACTAACAACAAATAAAATACAATCAATTAAAAGATCAAATTTGATCAGGAAAGGAGACACAATTTAAAAAAAAAAAAATACAATTTGAATGTCAATGTTCATTTTTAAGACAGCTTATTAAATGAAGCACAGTGTGGAACTTATAACCAGGGGAGACAGGTATTGAGATACTAAAGAAAACATCTTTCCTGGAAAAATAATTTTGTCATTATGGATGACCAACTGGTGAGCAGGTGTTTCAATGCTGGTTTCACAGAAGGTGTCAATATACTTTTAGCATTTAAGAGGAACTGATTTTCTGTTTCTTCATTATCATCCCAGTATGAGACTACTGTAGGAACAGTGACAATATCATGTTGAAAAAGAACTTTAATCTTCTTCTTCAAGGATCAGAAGAAGGAACGACAGTAAAATGAACATTAATGTCTTTCAACAACATAACAGCTTCGAGGGAATTAATTTAATCAAAAACAAGGAAGAAGTCTGTGTTGTTGTAACGGATGAATGAAAACATTTCCAACAGTCTCTGAAGGCACCATCGCCAAGTCTCGCGATACAGTGCGCACACCGGGTAACGTTAGCGTCGTGTAAACGCGGGTGCCCGAGAAAAAACCTTGCTAGCGCGGATGTGTTCTCTGTGACCAACCGGTGTGTCTTTCATTAAAAACAAGAGGGTAGTTGGCATTTATCGTGACAAAGTTCGGGAAATCTTCAACTGCTGGTACACGGGATCACATTAGGCACCTGATAACGGACGGTATATCTGGATTGAAGAGGAAATTCGATTAAAAATGTCCGAAAGCGCAAACTGCGTGGAACAGCGGGAAGAGCAAACTGAACTTGAAGAAGCCGGAGGAGCGGAGGTAAGATGGTTTAAAATGAGCATTGTCTCCTTTGAACACCGCGTACATTTCTTACAAACCTGTCGCATACGTCCATAACTTTGACCCCCAGTCGTCTCTTAACTACGGGTTTCTCGAGTTCAGTTGTGTGAAACTTTCTCTTTGTCAAATCTAATGCGGGTTGTTTTAGCTAGTTAGCTAGCCGCGGCGGTGCTATCATTAGCTCTCGACAGTAGCAGCTATGTCCTGGAGACTCGGGACTGAAGCTAACGTTACAGCACGGAACAGCAACCAGGCTAACCCGTTTCATAAGCGCTTATAGTACTACCCTAGCCCCGCTAGCTACCCATTGATCATGGCGTTAAAAATCACGGAGTTCTTTTTGTTTACCTCCGAGCGAGGTTTTCCCGGTGAGTTGTTCGTAACTGCGATGTGGCTTTTGGGAAGCCTCGTGAAGACTAGTAAAGAGCAGCACCCCGCTCAGCTGTCCCATCTGCGTCTTTGTTTTCAGGGGGGACAGTGCAATGGCTGTTGTTACTGAAGAGGGATGCTACTGAAGTGTTGCCTGTCTGCAACTTGGCTGTTGTTGTTTTTGGTGCCGGGTTTTTTACTAAGATGTAGTAATAATAATAATGATAGTAATGGATGATATCTAGAGAAAAAGCAGGATTTCATTTATCTTTGCAGGTCAAACGTTTAGACAAGGCAAACATTACTGATTCAGCTCAGACATATACTAAACAGCATAGTATAAATTCTAGCATATTATAAATAAGTGACTTTAATGAAGCTCGAAGACAACACTGAGTATGTTATCTACTAAACAAATATGATGCATGAAAAACAAAATTGAAGGTACTAAATACTGTAAACACCAACATAAAAAATAACTATAAAGTGTATTAAGAGTAAAATAGAGACATATATGTTGTATAGAATACATGTAAACAAGCACCTTTTGCACTACTATTGGGTGGTGCTTAAAGTGTCTGCATAAAACATTAAAATTAGTATTGACTGGACTTACTACAATAATGGCATCTAAAACTGTGTGTGTGTCTCATAATGCAAAGACATTAGCGCAAAAGCCAAACAACTGCTGAGCATGATTCACACTCGGTGGACACTTCTCAGGAAGGGTAAAGCACAGAGCTGGTCTTCCATAACAGATTTTTTTCCAGCAACAGCAGGCAGGAAAAAAAATTCAGAGAATAAATGAAACTTTCTGTTCAGGAGAAGTCTGACTCTTCAGATGCTGGAAAAGAGTCCTCCTCAGATGCTGGACAAGATGCATCCTCCTCCTCCTCATCCAAAACTAAAGATTCTGCTCCAGGTTATGAGGAGAAAGTGGTAAGGACACTGTATCTTGCATTGCATGGCACAACTCTCTGTTTTTGAGTAAATAAGTTAAAAAGTTTTTCGTCCTGTGTATGTGTGTAGCAAACTGACCGGACCAACAGATTTGAGTACCTGTTGAAGCAAACAGAGCTGTTTGCTCATTTCATCCAACCAGCCGCACAGAAGACCCCCACCTCCCCCTTGAAGATGAAACCAGGACGTCCTCGCATCAAGAAAGATGAGAAACAAAACCTGCTGTCTGCTGGAGAGTGAGTACAAAATCACACAATACAGACTAATGAGATTTCATTAAGTCTGCTCCCTTTATGATGATGACATATTGTATAATTTCTTGGTCTGACAGTAATCGCCATCGCCGCACAGAGCAAGAGGAGGACGAAGAGCTTCTGAACGAAAGCACCAAGACTACTAATGTCTGCGCTCGCTTTGATGAATCTCCCTCCTGTAAGCAGTAACCTGTTTTTATTTAAGCTTGAGTGGAAGGACCCTCTAGCACGTACATTTAGAAAATGCAGAAGTGATATTTATTTGTTTTCCTGTCTCTCATCTAGATGTCAAAACAGGAAAAATGAGGGACTATCAGATCCGTGGCCTGAACTGGCTCATTTCTTTGTACGAAAATGGCATCAATGGGATCCTCGCTGATGAAATGGTCAGTACTTTCTCACAGTCAGAATTGTTACCTCTACATGTGGATATGTATGCCAGTTGTTTTTATTTTGTATGTTTATGTATTTTTCTGCCTCTCTTACACAAACTCTGTTTGCTGTTTTTAAGGGTTTGGGAAAGACTCTCCAAACTATTGCCCTGCTGGGTTATATGAAGCACTACAGAAACATCCCTGGTCCCCACATGGTGCTGGTGCCCAAGTCCACTCTGTACAACTGGATGAATGAGTTCAAGCGATGGGTGCCTTCTCTTCGTGCAGTCTGCCTGATCGGAGACAGAGATGAGAGGGTAGGCTTCGTCAAAATGTTGTGATTCTCTGGAAAGCAAGATTTAATTGTGAGTTTTTATGTGTAGTATACATTACAAATGTATTTTTACTCAGTATGTGTCAAGGTGAGAAAGAAGAGTGAGAAGATGCTATAGATGTCAACAGCATGCACAAGATTCTCTTTGAGGCACTTAAATCTGTCACTGAGTGCTATAGCTAACTTTAGCTTCACCAACGAAAAGTAACTCAATCACTCACTCTTATTTGGAAGTGATAATTATCTATCCAAAACTGTACTTATGATTTGCGAGGCTAATGTGCAGAAGCCGCTGTGTGTAAATCTATGTAAGTATCACAGGTTACAAAACGAAATGCTTAACATTTTTTACTTCATCCTCAGACTGCCCTGATCAGAGATGTGCTGCTGCCAGGAGAGTGGGACGTGTGTGTCACATCCTACGAGATGCTCATCATTGAAAAGGCCGTGTTCAAGAAATTCAACTGGAGATACCTGGTTATTGATGAGGCCCACAGGATCAAGAATGAGAAATCCAAGGTCAAACAGCCACTGAAATAAAATTATTGTTTACATGCATTACAACCACCATGTTTGACATATAATGTTGCAAGATAGTCCAGAAAAGCTTAAGTTGCTCTTTGTTTTCCCGTAGCTTTCAGAAATTGTGCGAGAATTCAAGACCACCAATCGTTTACTGTTGACTGGAACGCCCCTGCAAAACAACCTCCATGAGCTGTGGGCTCTGCTCAACTTCCTGCTGCCTGACGTCTTTAACTCCTCAGAGGTGAGAATTCACAAGAAATGCACAAGATCAAGAGAGAATATTACTCGGATATATTGGCTCTCTGCTTTGAACTGAAAACATAACCTCCTTAGTTCCAGCTGTTTATTTAACAGAGAGGTGTTTTTCCTTTCTGATACTAATTTAATCTTCTTTTTTTCTTTTTTTTTTTTTTTTTTTCCCCCTAAGGACTTTGACTCCTGGTTTGACACAAACAACTGCTTGGGTGA